CGGGAGCCGGGATCCCGGCGGGGTTGGAGTTCCGCTTCCTGGCAGGCCTCAGGGGTTGCTCTGAGGACCGGTGACTCGAAAAGCGCTCAGAAGAACGCTTGGCCCATTGGTGCTATGTGAGTTGAGCCATTACTGTCTTGTTTTTCTCTGTTTTTGTGTGTTTTTGAGACAGAGTCTTGCTCTGTCGCCCAGGCTGGGGTGCGGTGGCGCGATCTCGGCCCACTGCAACCTCCATCTCCGGGGCTGCGGCGATCTTCCCGCCCCAGCCTCCCGTGTAAAGCGTGCGCTTTAGCAAGAAGGAGAATTATCCCAGAAGAGCACACTGGGCCCTCCTTACACTTGGCTTCACATCCATGGATTCAACCAAGCAGACTGAAAATATTGTTTTTAAGCTAAAGCAATACAGAGTCTCGCTGTGTTGCCCAGGCTGGAGTGCAGTGGCGCGATCTCGGCTCGCTGCAGGCTCCGCCTCCACAGGGTTGATGCCATTCTCCTGCCTCAGCCTCCCGAGTAACTGGGACTACAGGCGCCCGCGGCCACACCCGGGTAATTTTTTTGCATTTTTAGTAGAGACGGGGTTTCACCGTGTTAGCCAGGGTGGTCTCGATCTCCTGACCTCGCGATTCGCCCGCCTCGGCCTCCCAAAGTGCTAGGATTACAGGCGTGAGCCACCGCGGGCGGCCAAAATAATACACATTTTAAAACAATACAGTGTAACAGCTATTTACAGAGCATTTACATTGTTTTAGGGATCGTAAGTAATCTAAAGTACACAGTGGGATGTGCGTAGGTAATGTGCAAATACTACGCCATTTTATATGAAGTACTTGAGCACCTGCAAATTTTGGTATCTTTGAAGGTCCTGGAACCAATACCCCGAGGATACCACAGGGCAACCATAGGCCAGTATGCCTGTGTGAATCCCAGCAAAGTAACAGGCTGGGTGCGGTGGCTCACACCTGCAACGCCAGCACTTTGGGATTGCAGGCCAACGCGGGAGGATCACTTGAGGCCTGGAACTTGAAATCGGCCTGGGCAACGTACCAAGACCCCATCTGTACAAAAAAAAAAAAATGTAGCCAGATGTGATGGCATATGCCTGTGAGCCCCAGCTACCCACGAAATTGAGGTGGGAGATTGCTTGAGCTTAGGAGTTCAAGGCTGAGGCGAGCTGTGATCACACCGCTGCATTCCAGCCTGGTTGACAAAATGAGACCCCATCTCTAAAAAAGTACCAAAAAAAAAAAAGGAAAAAAGAACAGTCTACTAACAAAATGAAAATACTGGACAATAATCCTCTGTAAGTTGGGGGAAGGATCATTAGAGTTACAGTGTTCTGAGTCTTTTTATTTTGGGGATGGGGTTAAAATATTGTTAACATTAGGACTTCTTATGTTGAAATTGCAAGGTAAAATGTCATGATTAGCCATTTAAAAGACAAATAGTGTGTATATATTCCAAATTAGCAGGGAGGAAAAATGTAATACAAAAAAAAAAGTAATAAAATTCAATGAAAAACTAAAAGGTAAGAAAGGAAGGGAAAGGCGAGAAAAACATGGCAGTACAGAACTGTCTCCAGGAACAGCGGGTAAGACCCTCCGTCCAACAACCCCAGAGAAAACAACTAAAATGGTAGATAAACTGCTTTAAAAACAATTCCTCAAAGCGTCAGAGAACTGAAAAAAACTAAGAAACCACCAGTCCCACACCATGGCGCTGGACACAGCAATGGAAACAATTATTTCAGACCAGCCACCTCCTGAGAGCAACCAACAGAGCTGGAGAGCGCTGCACGGAACCGTCCAAGGCGCTGGGAGCTCGGAGGCCAAGGGGCTCTGCAGGGCCAAGCCGGGAGGGGTGGGGCCAGCTTTGAGGCCGCGACCTAACACCCATACAGCGTATCCCAGCCACATAAGACATGGTGACACACTGATGCGTTCCCCACGCTGTGGCCACACGACAAAAGTCGAGGCTCAGGCAGTGGTGCCTGGTAAAGACTTTGGGCTTTTCTTGGGACCCCAAAGGGCTATCCCCTAAAAGCAAAGGTGAACCAGAAACAGAATTGTCTTTGCGGGGACTGAAGCCAGCCTTAAATCACCTCAAGCCCTGAGAGAATTAAGGTGAGCCGCTCACCTGGACACTTGTGGACAAAAAGCAAACCTTCCCTGGAGGAAGGTAAAACAAACAAAAACAGAAGTCCTCACTGTACGGTGCTGGAATGGATCCGGGTCAGGAAAAATTATCATAAAGTGCACAATGGGGACATTCACAGTTTGGAATATGCGTTGTATATTGTATAACAAAAGTCTACTGGCCGGGCGCGGTGGCTCACGCCTGTAATTCCAGCACTTTGGGAGGCCGAGGCGGGCGGATCACGAGGTCAGGAGATCGAGACCATCCTGGCTAACACGGTGAAACCCCGTCTCTACTAAAAATACAAAAAATTAGCCGGGCATGGTCGCACATGCCTGTAGTCCCAGCTACTTGGGAGGCTGAGGCAGGAGAATTTCTTGAACTTGGGAGGCGGAGATTGCAGAAAGCTGAGATTGTGCCACTGCACTCCAGCCTGGGTGACAGAGCGAGACTCTGTCTAAAAAAGGAAAGAAAGAAAGAAAGAAAATATTGGGCTGGGTATGGTGGCTCATGCCTGTAATCCCAGCACTTTGGGAGGCCGAGGCAGGAGGATCGCTTGAACCCAAGAGGTGGAGGTTGCAGAGAGCCGAGATTGCGCCACTGCACTCCAGCCTGGGTGACAGAGCGAGACTCTGTCTAAAAAAGGAAAGAAAGAAAGAAAGAAAATATTGGGCTGGGTATGGTGGCTCATGCCTGTAATCCCAGCACTTTGGGAGGCCGAGGCAGGTGGATCACCTGAGGTCAGGAGTTTGAGATCAGCCTGGCCAACATGGCAAAACCCCGTCTCCACTAAAAATACATAAAAATTAGCCGGGGGTGGTCGCACATGCCTGTAGTCCCAGCTACTAGGGAGGCTGAGGCAGGAGAATCGCTTGAACCCAAGAGGTGGAGGTTGCAGAGAGCCGAGATTGCGCCACTGCACTCCAGCCTGGGTGACAGAGCGAGACTCTGTCTAAAAAAGGAAAGAAAGAAAGAAAGAAAATATTGGGCTGGGTATGGTGGCTCATGCCTGTAATCCCAGCACTTTGGGAGGCCGAGGCAGGTGGATCACCTGAGGTCAGGAGTTTGAGATCAGCCTGACCAACATAGTGAAACCCCATTTCCACAAAAAAAAAAATTAGCCGGGTGTGGTAGTGCATCCCTGTAATCCCAGCTACTTGATTGAGAGGCTGAGGCAGGAGAATTGCTTGAACCCTGGAGGCAGAGGCTGCAGTGAGCCGAGATCACGTCATTGCACTCCAGCCTGCGCAACAGAGCAAGACCCTGTTTCAAAGAGAAAAGACAATATTAAATGGTGTTCTTCAAGTAGAAGGAAGGAAGTCCCAAATCCCAGCTCAGAGGTGCAGGAAGAAGTGAAGAGTGCAGGGGGGATGGGAAAACTTCCCCTCCCTGTCTGAAGTTTCACCCAAAAGGTACACAGATTTCTTGGATTGTAGTTTTATGTGACACAGGAGCTTTCAGAGCAAAGACCTAAAGGCGCAGGGGAAACTGCATTTTTATACTCAGGCTCTGTGAAGTCTGGAAATAGGATTGGACGAAAGGTTAAGACCTGACAGGCTAACAGACTCCTGGGGGGCCCAGTGAGGCCCGTGTGCTTCGGTTCCTGGCAGCCTCTCTCTGCAGCTCTCCTTCTTGCTGGGTGGGGGCACAATCCCCCGGAATAGGGATCTGACCACCTGCAGTCAAACAAGGCAGGCCAGAGAATTCCTTTATGGCCAGTTTTTACACAGAAAGACAGGAAAGTTATTAGAGTCATACTTCTAGGTTTATGGCTGGCTTTGGGGAAAAGGGGTTCAGGTTTCTACGACCTGCCTTGGAGAATAAGGGGCCAGAGACAGGGGGCAGGAGAAGGCCTGGCTTCCAAGGCCTTCACTCCGGGTGTCATTTTCTGAGCCCCAACAAAAGCAACAGAAAGGGTATATTGTGTACAAACCTAATGAATCGTAACCGCATAAAACAATCATGTTACAGGGTTTCACATATTTCTGGGGAATTAGGATTTACAGCAACAGCAGCACAGGTGTCCTGAGGGAAAAGTGGAGTGAGAGGGGAGGAAAGCCTCCCGAAGATGCCCTCCGTCCTGTCCAGGCCTGTGCCTGTCGCCTCACGTGGTGAGCGCCTGCAAACGTGGTTCCTTGAAGCGTCTAAAACGCAGAGATAATTCTGGGTGTCCAGGCGGGCCCGGAGTGTAATCTCGGTGTGCCTGTACAGGGGAGGCGGAGGGGGATTTGACACAGAGGAGGCTGTGATGGCCTCAGGAGAGATCGAAAGGTTGTTCTAAAATGTGTCCCCAGGATTTGTTTCAATGAGGTGTGGGGAGACACACAGACCCGGCCATGACAGGCTGGGAGGAAGGCCTTGCTGTGTGTAGAGACGTGTGCGATTCTGATTTAGATTCTGGGGTTCTGTGAGGCAAGAGATTCACACAGGTCTCTGCCCTGCAGGGGACACCTTTTGGGTAATGGCCCAGTGGCTTATAATAAACTTGGGGAAAAGGCCGCTGGTCGGCAGAGGCACTCAGGGCTGAGACCACGCCTGGCACGTTACTTCCGGGTCCGCCTTTCACCCGGGGCATCCGGGCAGGGGTGGAGCAGCAGCCGTCGCCGGGCTCCCCAGGCAGCGTGGCCAGCAGCATCGTGCCCTCATGCATGCGCCCATTTCTCTTTGCTCAAGAGAGTCCAACAGGGCTTGCCAGGCAGCCCAGGGGTCTACGGGAGGTGACCTCCTCCCACACTTGGCATCCAGCAAGCCACTGAAGACAGGGGAAGCCGCCCCCTCCCACGGGGGGAAGACAGCAAAGGACAGCTTTGCCTCCATCCTGCCTAGAGAGTCCTCAGCAGTCGAGCTGAGCTTGTGGGGTGCTGGTCCTATGCCCCGGCGCATACGGGCAGCTGGGGATGGGGCCAGAAGCTCAGGGTCGGTGACAGCCTCTGTCCCGGGAGACCCTGGGGTCAGCCAGTCACTTGTGGTTTTAAGAGTGGATGGCACTGGCCCGGCATGGTGGCTCACACCTGTAATCCCAGCTCTTTGGGAGGCCGAGACGGGCGGATCACGAGGTCAGGAGATCGAGACCATCCTGGCTAACACAGTGAAACCTCATCTCTACTAAAAATACAAAAAACTAGCCGGGCGCGGTGGCTCACGCCTGTAATCCCAGCTCTTTGGGAGGCTGAGGCAGGAGAATGGCGTGAACCCGGGAGGCGGAGCTTGCAGTGAGCTGAGATCGTGCCACTGCACTCCAGCCTGGGTGACAGAGCGAGACTCCATCTCAAAAAAAAAAAAAAAAAAAGTGGATGGCACAAGGCCAAGTTCTTGCTGGTTCTTGCATCAGAAGCTGCTGGGCAGCTTATGGCTGTCAGGGGTGGCTGAGAGATGCCAGCTGGCCAAGAAGAGGCTGCCAACGCCTCTACAGTGGAGTCTCTGAGGGCACTAACGAGAGTGCCTGCAGTTTTTAATTTGTTTTGTTTTGTTTTTAGACAGGGTCTTGCTCTGTGCCCAGGCTGGAGTATAGTGGCGCAATCACGGCTTACTGCAGCCTCGACCTCCCAGTCTCAAGCAGGCCTCCCACCTCAGTCTCCTGAGTACCTGGGACTGCAGGCATGTGCACACCCGGCTAATTTTTTATTTACATATTTTTTGTAGATAGGGTCCCTCTGTGTTGCCCGGGCTGGTTTCGAACTCTTGCGCTCAAGTGATCCTCCCACCTCAGCCTCCCAAAGTGCTGAGACTACAGGCATGAGCCACCACCCTGGCTGGTTTTTATTTGGACATAAAATTTGGAAATGAGGAATATGTTGCCACCAGAACCCAAAAATAACTAAAAAATATTGTACTGTGTCAGTAGGAGGGCGTTTTCCATGCATGTGGGCCCGCGCCTCTGAAGGAGGTCTGGTCTGCGGAGGTCCCGGCGCAGCCTGGAAAAGGTGGGCTGTGTCCTTGGAGGTGGCGGTGAACTGCAGCTTCGGCTTCGAGGTGGCTGAAATGGGCCCTGAGTGAAGCAGAGGCCACGTCTGCGCAATGCATGCTGGTCGGTTGCTGACTGGGGAGTCACTGGTTGAGACCCTGCTGGGTGCAGGGTGTGGGGCCTAAGGGGCGACTGCAGCCTCAAGATTGTGAAAACCCACCATGAGGCACCCGTTATTTTTTCCTGGTGAAAGAACAGGCAAAATTGGGCCTTTGTTTTCTCTGCTTGTATCTAGGTAGTTACTGTTTTTTTCCTTTCTCCCCACCACCATCCCTTCTTTCTGCTTAGGCTTTGATCCACCCTAAACCCTGATTTTTAGTTTCTGTCTCTGGCTGATAAAAGGGAAGGAGGGGAGGGAAGCTGTCCCCCCAGGATGGCCCCTGTCTGCTGCATCTTTTTCCCTCCGTTTTTTCCTCTTAAACAAAAATCTTGGTTTTTGTCTTAAAAATCTGGCTTATATCTCCAGGTGCGTAGAATTTTTTTCTCTTTTCTTGCTGTCCATTCTGACTGTATTACCTGCATTTTTTTTTTCTTTTGAGAAGGAGTTTTGCTCTTGTTGCCCGGGCTGGAGTGCAGTGGCGCAATCCTGGCTCACTGCAGCCTCCGCCTCCCGGGTTCAAGCAATTCTTCTGCCTCAGCCTCCCAAGTAGCTGGGACTACAGGTGCCCGCCAACATACCTGGCTAATTTTTGTATTTTTAGTAGAGAGAGGGTTTCACCATGTTAGCCAGGATTGTCTCGATCTCCTGACCTCAGGTGACCTGCCCACCTTGGCCTCCCAAAGTGCTGGGATTCTAGGCGTGAGCCACCGCACCTGGCCTATTCTCTGTATTCTTAATGCACTGGCCTTGGGGGTCTTGATCCTGGAGAGACCACAGCTCCCAGAGCTCACAGGTGCCTCCTTGTCACACTCACACCAAGCCAGTGTCCCTGCCCTCAGTCACCCCAGGGCAAGGTATTGACTGACCAGGGGCTGCCGAGCCCAGGACCCAGGGAAGTCGCTCCAACTCCAACCCTGTCCTGATCTCATCTGGCAGCGTCCACCCTGCCTCATTTGCCCTTCCTGTGGCGCCCCCATGAACTGGGGCTCCCCACCACTCCGTGGCCCTGTGTGCTGTGCCCCCTTCTCTTGGGAAATGTAATATATCATTTTTGCAGGAAGTCGTCTCCACATCTGCCACCTTACCGCACCTGATTAAAACTAAGCCCAGGTACAAATTTTAGAACAAAGGTGTGTGGCCTCTGGAAATCAGCTCTGGAAGCTAGAAGGGGCCAGTAGCCTTTGCCGCGGGAGGGAGTGTGGTGCTGCCGACATGTGGACCTGCAGCGGGATTGTGCTGGCCTGGGCCACATCACAGCACCAGCACAGCAGGTCCACACAGTGGGACGGATTGACAGGAAGCTGGGAGATCCCCTTCCAAGGGCAGCACACAGTTTTGTAAAATTTGCTAAGCCAAAATTCCTTAACCACAAGCGCTCCTACTCCCTCTCCGCTTTCCCTCTTGCTGGGCTGGCACTGGAGAGGCAGTGGGCACTCTGCGGCCTGGCAGGGGGACGTTCAGTTGTGGAGACATTGGCGGGTCAGCAGCCTCCACCATGCCCTTCCCAGCCACTTCCTTCCAGACGTCCTATGGGAGAAACAGCTTCCAGCAACACCCGTGGCAATTAACACAGAGGAGTGACTCACAGGAACTTCTGGAAGAGGAGGAAAGATCTTGCTGATTTAACAGGAAATGCCGACATCAATGAGAGAATGCGGGACCCTCACACCAGCCTCACGAGAACCCGGTGGATACGGCTCATCCCAGAGGGTGCCTTGGATCAGCACCTGGGGAAAAAAAGCAGCACCTGAAACTGGTCAGCCTGCAGAGGAGAGAAGACTGAGCAAGTTTTCTCCAAATTTCACAACAGGCTTTACCATGTGGATGATATAACCAGTCGTCAGTACATTTCTGTAAAGCAAATCACACTTTAAGAAAACCAGCCATGCTAGTGGGCCTGAGGATTACCTTTCATTTTCCTCTTTTCTCTCTGGAAAATGATATGGCAAAATTGCAAAAAGAGACAATTAAAAAGTGGATGAAAGGGTATCACAGCGAGCCATTATGAATAAAAAATCTCAGTATTTTCTGGATTTTGTGGTGCTTGTGCTATTAGTCAAGTTTTAAGAAATGCTTAATTTATGATTTCTTCTTGCATCTAATTTTATTTTATTCTTTTTTTTGAGACGGAGGTCTTGCTCTGTTACCCGGGCTGGAGTTCCGTGGCGCAATCTTAGCTCACTGCATCCTCCGCCTCCTGGGTTCAAGTGATTCTTCTGTCTCAGCCTCCTGAGTAGCTGGACTTACAGGCACATACCACCACGCCCAGCTAATTTTTATATTTTTAGTAGAGACGGGGTTTTACCATGTTGGCCAGGCTGGTCTCAAACTCCTGACCTCAGACAATCCGCCCGCCTTGGCCTCCCAAAGGGTTGGGATTACAGGCGTGAGCCACCGCACCCGGCCTGCATCTAATTTTGTAATAGTTATTTTGCATTTCTTCTTCTTCTTTTTTTTTTTTTGAGACAGAGTCTTGCTCTTGTTGCCCAGGCAAGAGTGCAGTGGTGTGATCTCGGCTCACTGCAACCTCTGCCTCCCGGGTTCAAGTGATTCTCCTGCCTCAGCCTCCCGAGTAGCTGGGATTACAGGCACGTGCCACCCCACCCAGCTAATTTTGTATTTTTAGTAGAGACGGGGTTTCTCCATGTTGGTCAGGCGGGTCTCGAACTCCCGACCTCGTGTTCGCCCGCCTCGGCCTTCCAAAGTGCTGGGATTACAGGCGTGAGCCACCATGCCCGGTCTGCATTCTTAAATAGATCCCCATCAGCAGTTGAGAGCTCTGGCTCTCTGACTGGATGCCTTCCCGCTGCCCGCAGGCAGCCCTTCCTGGTCACTCACATTCTTCAGGGTGCTGTCTGTCCCAGAGCACAGCTCCTGGAGGGTGGAGGTCCCCTGAAGCTTTGGCTACATTCCCTTTACCCTGGGGTCCACCCAGGGTCCTGCCCCAGCAGCTCAACCAACAGCTTCTGGACGAACAGAATCCTCCCGGGTTGAGGACCGAGTCTCCCCCCTCAGCATATGAGGGGCCTGCTCCTCCCTCCTCAGACTGGGTCTCCAGCTCACCCTCCACTCCTGGAATCCCCCGGTGGCCTGGGTGCCCCCACCAGCATAGCCCCCAGGGCAGGTCTCCCGGCTCCTTCCCTCCACAGTCCACAGCCCCCAATCCCTTTCTGGCGTCTCCCCGACAGGCCCCCCTCTGCTCTTCCCGCCCCCTGGGACCGCCTGCAGCGATGGCCCTGGAGCCCCGCCCTCTGCAGGTCCCTGCTCGGTGGTCTGGGGTGGGGTCCCTGGCTGCGCAGACTCCTGTCCACAGTTAGGCCCACGGGGGCAGGGACCCAGAGTGCTGCCAACGGCGGGGAGAGGTGACCCGCGTGGACGCGGCTCTCAAAGGCCACCAACGCCAGCTGAACAAGACCCGCGGCGCGCACCGAGCAGGAGAGCTGGGCGCTCGGCGTGAGG